CCCCAAAACCCCAAAACCCCAAAACCCCAAAACCCCTTCAAGAGATTTTACAATGGAATAATATATAAATAAAACCACCTTCAATGAACTCCCTCACCCGCTTATCCAAGACCTTCAACCACCCCGGGCAGACCCCTATATCCAAAAACCCATTTCCCACTATCGAAATGAAGCACAGGTTCATTCTGGAGTACTTTTCTTCCTCTAAATCTCTTCTAGAGGCTACAGTCCTATTAATTATGGTGAGAAGCAGACTGTCGCAGGTACTGTTCCTTCTTCTCTTGGGTCTTTACTTTTGGGATTTTGGCCTTGTGGCTGGGCTTGACTGGGATTTTAGAGACGTTGGGACAGGTGGTACGGGTGCTTGAAGATGTGAAGAGTGAGAAGCAGAGGAAGTATGAGCAGATGGAAATACCGAAGATTAAGGTCTCCAAGCCCGTTCAGGGTAAGAGGAAGCGGAGAAGGTAGGCGATGGAGGGAGTAGAGGGATAGAGGGGATTTTGATAGCTTTATGGGGTTGATGAGGATTTGGAGAGTTTTTATGGTATAGGCTTGATATGGGAAGAATTTTAGGAAAACCCAGTGATAGGATTAGTTTGGGAGTAAGCTTGGAAATAATTTTTAGAATAAAAGGATATCTAGTTCGACAATGGCTCCAGATATGATTAATAGACTCATGAGTCAGAGAAATTCTATCAGAAAGAATAATGCTCAGGTCAAGCACTCTCAAGACAAAGAACTGAGTATTTATACAATCCTCAATATATTAGATCATATTTAACAAATTGAGCCAAACTGGTACCTGGAAAGACTTATTCTTCGGCTTTAAATCTCCCTCAATCTCCTCAAGAAACTGAAGTCTAAAGTCAAAAAGTCAAGCAACTCTCCGTGCAGTAATTTTCTTTCTAAATTCTAGAAATTATACCAAAAATAAGTCGAAGCCGCTACCTCCAGAGTATTTAGTGCATCAAAAGCGGTTGGATTTCTTAAAATCCATTAAATCAAATCTCAAGAAGCTCAAAAAGAGCTCTCCGCTGTCCAGAATGGTCTCTAAGATTCAAGATGACCAGTTAAAATCTTCTAAGAGCGAAAAGCGGGTACTCTAGGACCTTATTTTTAGATCCTAAAGCAGCCATTCAGCCCTAAAGCTACTGAGCAAACTCAAGACCTGCTTTTGAAGAGCGCACGAACCTTTGTTGGCATTAAGAATGACAAGAAGGTCGAAGGCGTTTATGAACGCTATTTTGGGAAAATTAGGAAATTGTCACGCCACTCTGTTGAATTGGAGAAGACGAGTGAGGATAGAGTAAGGAGCTCTGGGTTAGACCAAAATGGAAATGGAAAAGCAAGCCAGGAAGGAGCTAACAGTGAGATATTCAAGTTATTCAAAATTACACCCAGAATCCAATGTGAAGATAAGAAGTACATCATCTTTGATATTTCATAGGAAGAGTTTCAAGAGCGAGAAAAAATTGCTATTGAAGGGGCGGGAATTTGTATTGCAAAAAGTTCCAAAGGCTCCGAAAAGAGTTTCTCAAACTTCTGCAAATTTTCTCCAAATTCCTTTAATTAAAAGGGAATCCAACGCACTTGTTCCTGTAGGAAATGTTTATTAATATATAGATCAAGGATGAAGAGCATGAAGAAACTATAGTTTCCATTAAGATGCAAGCTTCTCCCAGGGTAAGAATCAAAACAACAGTAGCAAAGCCAATAGTGACAAAGAAGAAACCGCTTCAAGTGAAAAAGGTGCCTCTTAGCTGTAATTTCTGGTTCTAATGCTTAGTATACAATTCAAAGAGAATGCAAAAGCCTGAGTTTCCAAAGTCTTTCGACTGGAGAAATATTGCTAAAACTAATCGTATTTGGGATTCTTATCATTCATCCTCTGCACCGGATGAGTCAAGTAGAGACTCTAGCAGCTAATACACTAAAGATAAGTCTTAAAGTGTGCTGGCAAAAGTCAGAGTTCTTCTAAAGTAATGCAACAGACAAGGTAGCTTTCCTTACCAAAACCAGGGCTTAGTAAAATTATGCATTATCTTAGGAGATTCTGTGATAGATATTTTTGTATTACCTGTTTTTCAATTCTTTGATTGCAAAAAGGGGTTTTGGGGTTTTGGGGTTTTGGGG